GGTTGGAGTCGGAGCCCACAGAACCATCTCTGACCTTGGTTGGTTGGTGATGGCAGGTCGGAGGTAGCCTGCTAGCAGTTAGCAAAGCCCTAGTGGAAGGCAGCCACTATAAAAATGCTGCGCCGGCTCTTACTTTGGTTAGTTGGGGCTGGTTAGGYTGAGGCAGCYTRCTCGCGATGAGCGAATGCCCTAAGGGAAGGAAAACCCCGAAAGAAAACCCTTTAACTCCCAACTCGTCAAGGGAGTCTCTTGGCACGGAAGTAGACACGTGCCAACGAGGATCCTGTGGGGCACCTGGCGCCCCCCACAGTATCAGCCTTACCGCTATAACCAGGCTCTGTAGCGGTGGACCCACCTTTCCTGTGTTCTCGTGGGAACAAAATGGAAGAAGTTAAACAAAAGAACCCAGCATCACCAGCTGGCCAATTGGTGAGCGGAATGTCAACCGCCCAAATGGCAAAACAAAGTAGCCTGATACCCTCATCGGGTATTAGTACATCGAAGGCAGAGCAAAATCTCTGTAGTGAGGATGTGGAGATGTCTTGTGGGGGCGCTCAAACAGTGGCCAACTTAGGCACTACTTCGGCCGTGGTGGAGAATGCGAGTCAGGCGAAGAAGACGGTGGACATAGCCACGCTGTCTGAAGATGAAGTGCTGTCCATGATGCATAGCATTGTAAAAGGAATGGTCGAGTTTGCTAACAACACTAAGAATGTGCATCGGGAACTGAAGGACAAACTGAAGAATACAGGCCTGCTTCTCTCGCAGTTCCTTAGGCTCAGAAAGGGCTCTGGAGCCGTAATTGAAAACCGTCCTGGGGTACAAAAAGTAGCCGATAACCCGCAACTCCGGTCAATGGAGCTCAAGGTAGCGCAAATGGCGCAAGAGCAGACTACCTTCTTCCAGCAGATGAAAGCGCAACATACGGAGTGGCAAGCGCAGCAGCAGGAGTGGCTGCTGAAACTAGAGGAGCGCCAGAAGGAAAGGTTGGTAGAAGGAGAGCTTAATCGGAAGATTTCCTCCCAGGCAGGCGAAGATAGCAGATCGGGACATGCGGATGATGAAGCCGAGACGTTAGCAGGACGCAGATCCCCCCGAAGAAGGCGGGGTGCCAAGAAATCGGCCAACGCGAGCAAGCCCCAAGTGAACGAGCAACGAATCACCAATGACGAGATGGAGCAGAGGGCAGATGCGCTCCAATCTGATGGTGAATGGACTGAAGTTGCAAAGAAGGGAGGGCGGCAAAAGACCCAGATGCAAACTAGCAGCTTAAAACAGGGTAGCCGAGCTCACGTAGCAGCGAACCTGGTGCGTAGAAGGAGCCCCAAGGCAGAGGCGGTTACCATCAGTGAACCAAAGGATGGTCTCTCGTATGCAGAGGTAATGAAGCGGGTTATGCAGGAGGTCGACCCTAAAGGAGATAGGCGTGGAAGTGTCTGGCTCCCATCGAACCAAATCGGGTGCAATCCTGCTGGAGGTGAAGGAGAAGGAGGCTGCGGACCGTCTGGCTGACTGCATCAGAGCGTCGCTTGGCGGTAAGGCAACAATATCCAGGCCGTCGAGGACGACGAAGGTCTTGGTGGTCAACATTGCGGACTGGCTGGAGGATGACCGCGTAACGGAGGACATCAAGCGTGCGGATACGGGGCTAGCGTCGGCAAAAATCGTAATCAGGAGCAATTCAGGTGGTGGCAGGGTGGCGATTGTCGATGCCCCCATGGATGTAGCGGTAAGGCTTTCGGAGCAAGCCCACATCAGAGTTGGCTTCAATCTATGCCGGGTGAAGCTTCTAGAAAAAAGACACCAGCAGTGCTATCGCTGTCAGGAGGTAGGCCACCTGGTGGCGTCTTGCACGGCTGAGGATCAAGGCAAGAGATGCTATAGATGTCGGGAATTGGGCCACATTGCTGCCGACTGCTCTAGGGCAGCTCACAAGCGCACCGACAGTGGCAATGCCTCGAGGAGTGCAGATCCTTCTTCCCAGTAACATGGCTGCTTTTCTCCAAATAAACACAAATAGAAGTAGGGAGGCCCAGGCTCTGGCCTTCCACACAATGAAAGTTAAGGAAGCGGATGTTCTGTGCATCAGCGAACCTAATCACATACCTGATCACCTAGGCTGGGTAGGAAGTACGGATAGGAAATGCGCCCTTTTCTTCCAGCAAAATCAGTACGTACTGAGAACCGGCTCAGGCGCAGGGTACGCATGGGCTGACTTGAAGGATATCAGAATATACAGCTGCTATATTTCACCGAACTGCACGTTTAACGAATTTGACGTCTTCCTATATAGGCTATTCGGTAGCGTCAGAGGAGCTACATCAGAGGTGATAGTGGCTGGGGATTTTAATGCCCATTCACCAGCTTGGGGATCACACAAAACCGATCCAAGAGGGGATGCCCTTTTGGAATTTGCCGAGTCTTTAAACCTTGTTTTGCTTAACGATGGCAAAGTGCCGACTTTTCCACGTGCGAACTCATTCCTTGATCTGACCTTGGTGACAAAGGGAATTATGAGGAAGATTGGTTCCTGGGGGGTATTAGAGGATGAGTCTTTGAGTGATCACCAATATGTATTCTTCAATACAAGGATGCCAGTGAGCAGTGTACAAACCGAAAAGAACGGATGGTCCTGGAGGAAGTTGGATACAGACAGACTGGACAAGTTCATTGCGGAGGCAATAACACCATTGTCGATGACTGCGGAAGCCAGCTCCACTGTGCTATCCGAACTCTTGAGGAACGCATGTAATGCCAAAAGGTTCATACAAATGGGGGAAGAAGCCATGCCACTGGTGGTCACAAACCATTGCGGAACTCCGGAAGGAATGTATGCGCTCTAGAAGAAAGCTGCGCAAATCAAGAACGCGGAACGAAGATTGCGGTTCAAAACTTGAAGAGTATAAGGTCCTGAAGAGGAAGCTTAAAACTGAAATCAGGAAAAGTAAAGAAAGCAGCTGGCGGGAGCTTAGTGTACAAGTTGAAACTGATCCTTGGGGCACTCCCTACAAGCTCGTAACCAAGAAATTAGTAGGTCGGAGACCCATAACGGGGATAACAATTCCTGGAAGACTAAACTCTATAGTAGGCACCTTATTCCCTGTCCATCAACCAAATATCTGGCCGGTTACGGATTCGATAGGAGAATTCCCATTAATTACTCGTGAAGAACTTGTGGCAATAGGCTCACGCCTGCCTACGAACAAGGCGCCAGGACCGGATGGAGTACCAGATGTGATTTTGAAGCGAATAATCGAGAGGAAGCCAAAGCTTCTACTGGGAACACTCAACATGTGCCTTGTGCAGGGGCACTTCCCGAACCCATGGAAGGAGGCCAAGCTTGTTCTTCTCCTAAAAGGTAACAAGCCGTTGGACCAGCCCTCGTCGTATCGGCCAATCTGCCTTATAAACACAATCGGGAAGCTTCTTGAACGCATTATTAAAGGGAGATTGGAGATACATTTGGACCAGATTTGTGGGATTAGTAAACACCAATTCGGGTTCCAAAAAGGACGTTCTACAATAGATGCATTAGAAA